GGAAAATTCTAACTTCTAAATTAATTGACAATAAAATAAAATAATTATTAATTTCGTTTTATAGATAGAAAAATAAATAAAGAAGCTTAAGTAACAAATAGAAAGGAAAATTATATTAAAAAAAAACCAAAATATAGTATCTCTTAAAATTAAATAGAAATTTATTGTATCATTGTCAAACTAACCTAAAAATAATATCGTAATAGTTAAAACTTATAGCTTAGATTAGAAAATTTTATAACTTACAATGCATTGCACGTATACAAATATATAATAATAACGTCATATACTGACTAGATGCAATTAAAAAACTGATCATCATCAACAACAAGAACTTTCTTTGTCCAGTTAAGCTAATAATATCACCAATGGTGGAAGTCATAATAAAATAAATATTCACCCGCAATTAAAAAGATAAGCATGTTTTCCCAACAACTCATTTATATATTTTAATATGGAATACAATCAATGTTTATTTACCATTTTTTTACATTTTCTAAACGGTGGACCAATTGTTCGTGTTACTCTTCCGCCTATTTTCAAAGAAATATAATGAAAAGTGTTGTCAAACCTGTTGTGCTCCTAGCCACAATTATGAACCTAAAAACATTTCAAGGTTTATAATCTCAAACATATAATTACTATTATTTTACTATTATTTATGAAAATATGATGAATCCTGAAATAAATTAAATAATAAGATTTATTTAACTCTTAACACTATACTTTAAATTACACCATACTTTAAATTCCACTTCTTTTACCCGGTTTTTTTCCGACAAATATATTGAAGCACCTACTGACTATACTGACTACTAGGTGGTTGCCTGCACATATGTGCGGATATAATTTTTTTTATATACATAGTTAATTGTAATATTTAAATGTTGATTAGTTTTTTTAAACATTGATATATTTGTATATATATATATATATTGTTTTAATATTTCACAAATTTCTTTTTGAAGCCAATGTATTTTAAAAACTTTATTTTTATAATGCTTGTAATAATATATAATCACAAATATAAAAGTTATATTAAATAATAATTAAATTTATATAATATTTTTTCAATATTTCTATAATATGCTTTATTTCTCCTTACACAATCTACAATATGTTTTTTTGCGTATTACATAATATGAATCTGCAAATACATATATAATATATTTTAACTATATATTTTTCTTGATTTATTACAAATTAAACTGAAATAGTTTTAATATTTTTACTTATTTTTAAGAGCGGATAGATGGTTGACACGCATGTGCGGACATACCACCCACTTCACTACACTTAGAATAGATAAATATTTTTAAAAATATATAAATTATATAATAATTAAAATAAAATTAGTCTGTAATCAATCTTAACAAAATACATGCACGGAAAAGTTCGCATGTGACTTCAACTAATGCACAATTAATATTTATGTATGTACGCGTATTTGTAAAAAAATTGAGATATGGCTCTTAGGTATTAAAAAGATTTTAAGTGACTTTATAAAACAAAGTGCGAGAGATTTATTTTTATATACTTCTTTTTTTATTTTTTTTTCATATTGTTTCATCTTATTATAATTTATTCTTTCATTCGTTTATTTTTCATTTTATTTATGTTTTCAAAATTTTGATATACAATGAAAATAAATTTATATATATATATATATATATATACATATGATAAGAGATAAGATGAGATGGTAACATAAGTTATGTATATTTTAGAAAACAACAACAAAAAGATGATAAAAGTTATAGAAAAATATATGGTCCTTTTAATATTATAAAATAATAATTAGTATATACTTTATTCATATAGTCAATATTGGTTTGAAAAGAAAAATTATTTAAAATTACGTTTTTTTAAAAAAAAATCAATAAAAGTTTATTATTTTTTATTATTTTTAACATTTTATTCTTTAATTGTTTTTTTTATCATGATTGAATTTTATTTAAAATTGTATTATTTAATAATTTATTTATTTAAAACTTGTTTAGATGTTATTAATATATTTTATAAATTTATAAATTTCCGAAATGAAAATATATCATACTTTAAGTATTATTAATAAATAAATTTTTTATTATTTTATTGGATAATTTAGTATTATTTTTTTGTTTTATATGAAATTATAATATATATATATATATATTGTTGAAAAAATTTCGTAATTATATTTTATGAAATTATAAATATATGTGAAAAATGAAATTATAATAACTTTTATTTTCTGTAATTTAAATTTATTAATTTTAGTGTTATAAATATAATCTAGTTTATATATGTTTTAATTCCACAATTTCTATAATTTTAATTCAACCAATCAAAACATTTCGTTTATTATAAAAAGTTTGACATGTCACATTTACATGTCATCAATTAAAAACACTAACTTTTGATGTAGTGTTGACAAGTCAGCTATTTTTAATAATATTACTTCTCAAATAATATGTAGTGGATTTGACATAGTAAGTACGCTTACATGCATATACCTCATCATACTTTAGTTTCCTATTGTGTTTTTAGATATGAAACTAAACTGCTTTAAAGCAATTATGATATGATGAGAAAATAAACATGTTTTTATATAAAGTTGCGTTTCAAAATAAAATAGGAATCATTATCAAAATAGGCAAATTAGCAAAAGAAAAACTCGTATAAAAGAAAACTAACTTGGGCTAAAGTTTTTAAAAATCAATATAAAAAAAAACTTAACTAAAATAAACAAATGATGTTATAAGCTTTTGAAAAAAGTCCATCTAAGATTTAAATTCAACAATTAGAGCATATCAAATCATCATTATAACTAGAATTAAAATTAATATAAAAAACAAATTTAACAGAGAAAAAGAATTTGTATAAAAGAAATTATACTTATTTGGGAAATCAACAACAAAAGAGCTTAATAAAAGCATATAAGTCCTAATTATATCAAACATACAAAAAGTATATAAATTAAAATAATTAAAAATTATTATCAAAAGATGTAAATTATCAAAAAAAAATTAAAACAAAATTAATATGAAATTAGTTTCAAAAGTTCATGATTTCTAAAGTATTAGTATCAACAATGAAGAACTATCTAAAGTTGCAATAGGTTTACATAAGTTTCTAAACCAAACATATGTATCTGATTTAAAAACTAACAAAGAATAACACTATATAAATAACTTTACACTCGATATTTAACAAGTAGTAAAATCTGATTTCTATACATAGCCACTACTTATATCTGAACCAACATCAATAACACATTCTAAATTCTATTTAGATAATAAAATATGACAAAGTTATGAATCAAACTCAAATTGGTATTAGTAGATAAAATATTCAAATCAAAGCATGCATATTGCACACAAAAGATAAAAACAGTGAAAAATAATGCAAAGACTCCACACCATCAATCCCACAAGTTAAAAAACTAAAATTATCAAATATTAGATTGTTAAAAAATAGATATCTATGAAAAATGAATATAAATATAAGCTAAAACTCTTAGAAGACATGGTGGAGAAGGAAGAAATGGGTTTGCATGATCATTGCAGCTTTCTAACAAAATTAAATATGAATCAACATAAATCATGGATTATATATGCAGTGGTACACAACATCAATAAGACTTTCAATAAAAAAAAACTAAATATTTGAACACATAAATCTTTAAGAAAAAAGAACTATAGAAATTCTATGGAAAACAGAAAATAAATACCAAAATCTTAGCAAGAAAATCTTTCTCTAATTCAAATGTATATGTACGTCAAAGTTGGATAATTTGATAGGTGTCATTGTTATTATTCTACCTAATAATTTTTAAAATTTTATAAATTAAAATAGGAGAAAGTTACACATTATATATTAAATTCTCTTACATAAATGAAAATTTCTATAAATATATTATAATTTTAATAATTAAAAAGATAGTGGCTAAAAAAATTAAATCAAACTATTAATACAGACTCGCGCATAGCGCGAGTTATATACCTAGTCTATTATACAAAGACTGGGTTGTGTCTCACAAGGAGGTGACACATCAACAGCCATTTCATGATACCTCAGTTTTTTTTTTTCCTGTTTTTGTTTTTTTTTTCGTCCTGCAGAAAGTAAATAAATTCTATTGGGCCAAAATTATAATATGATGTTAAAAAATTGTGGCTCATATTTCTCTCCAACACGGTCTGTTAAAAAATCGTGGCCAATATCTAACCAAAGTTTCTCTCCTTCTCTATCCCGATATCTCTCCACCACGGTCTGTTTTTTTTCTCTGTGTCTTCTTCTTCTTCTTCCTCCTTCTTCAATCTAGAATTCATTCGAATATACTACTTTTATAAATCCTTCCTTGTCGTCTTTTGACACCTCAGCAAAAAAAATTATGAGTAAAATTTAATTAGTCAATATTTATTTTCATCATCATCTTTACTTCTACTTTATTGTCTTCTCTTTTCCAAAGAAGAATATGAATGATCATGGCCAACATCGCCAAAAACAAGAGATAAAACCCCTTTCATTCCTTCTCTTTCATTACGTTGACTCTGTGTGTGCCAATAGGATATGATAGTTGAAAATTATGTTCACATATAAGTTTTACTCACGATTGGATCAGATACAAGGTGATCACTGTTTTTACACAAGGTTGTCATCACTACAAAAACAATGGAGGATTGTCTCCTCGATTGAGCAGAAGGAGGAGAGCAGTCTCAGATTGAAAAATCAATAATTTATCTCGGAAGCAGGAATCTCTCTACTTAAATCTTCGGGATCCATTAATGTTTTCGAAGATCTGTATAGCAAACCCGAGGTAATCTTCACTTCTCGTCTGATTTCAAATTAGTTAAATCTAAAGTTTTGAATCGCGATTGTATTCTGCTTCGTCGTTTGATTTTCAGAGCAGAAGCTTCCGCGAGTTGATATATGATGTCTCTGCTCTCTCGTATCGAAACCAGCATCAAGGGCTCTTCAACTTCACTCGATACGAGAATCATGACTCTCTCCCTTTGCAAATGCCTGCTCTTCGATCACCCGTTTCTTCCTCGATTTTTATCAGGTATTTTGAAGAATTATTCACTTCTCTTATCGGAGAAACGTTGACTGTTGATTTCTAGTATGAATTGTTTCTTCATCTGGGTTTTGGGTTTTCGAGTTGTAGCGAAGATGGAATTTTTGAGTTTTACTCATTTCTGAGTTTTTGATAATCTGTATGAATCGCTTGAAGTTTGGATTGGTTTGGTCTGTTTTTAGTATAATAATCATGTATGTTCAAGCTTATTTACCATTTTATTTGTTTAAATTACAGTAGTGACGAAATCGATATGAAAGTCAACATCTACTTTGGTGGAAGTATGAAGAAAATAAATGAAGATTATGAGTATATATGCTAACTGGTTTCCAAACGAAGACATGGAATGTTTCTAAGATTAAATGGGAGAGATTTGAAGAATTCATTCAGGGGAAAAAGATCAAGACTCCAATTGCTTTAGTTTGGTACAAAGATCCGGGAGAGGAGATGAAGAATATTAAGTATGTGTTTGAGAGCAATAATGGTGATATGTTTGAACTACATTAGGTTGGAAAAGCAAGGTGTGAGATAGATGTTTATTTGGAACATAACAAGGGATACGATGGTGGTGAGGATGAGACTGATGGTCGTGAGAATCATAGTGATGATGGGTACGAACCTGAGAGGGAAGATGATAGTGACGATGATGCTGTAAACAGACCAAGAGAAGATGAGGAAGGTGAGAAATCTGAAGATGAAGCACCTGTAGAGAAGGAAATAGAATAGGTAGTGTTAGAAAAAAACGCTAATACTAATCAGAATCTGATTGATGATAGAGATGATGTTGTCTTAGATGCAGAAGATGGTCGTAATGATGAGAGGTTTAAGTCCCTATTTGAGGAAGGTGCAAGGACAAGTGCAGATGCTAAGGCATTATTTGATAGATGTACTGAAGAAAAGGAAGAAGAAGAAAGAGAAGCAGATGAAAGTGAACAAGAAGATAGGTTAGGGGATGTTGCATATCCAAATACGCCAGTATCATCAGATGAGGAGTGGGAGCAATGGATGAACAAAAAGAAACCGAGAAGGAAAGCCCAGTTACATGGAGATTTTGATAAAGAACCTTACTTGTGGTTGTTTCAGAAGTTCAACAGTGGCTTAGAATTTAAAGATCAGATATTGCGTTATTCACTTAACACACAGTATGATGTGAAGATGGCAAAGTCGGAGGCTAACAGGATAGCTGCAGTTTGTTGCACAGATGAATTGCCTTGGAGAGTTTTTTTTTCAGTCGAAGTGCCTCTGAATAAGTGGATGGTGAAAGTGTGTCGTTACAAAAACAATCATGAAAAATCAAGTAGGGGCTCTATGTATCAAGGTGTGATTGCTGGACTTTCAAAGAAGAGCTAAGGAGGAATGTGAGCTTACAAGCAGCAGAGATAAAAGATAACATAAAAGCAAGGTATAACAATTTTGTACCTATATCAAAGTGCTACAGAGGAAGAAAGATTGCTTTGGACACAATTCTTGACGCTCAATCAATCCAGTTTGGCAAACTCTATGATTATGAGGCGAAACTTCATAGATCACATAAAGGTCTTACAACAGAGTTTTGGACCACAGAGGTGAATGGTATTCTCATTTTTGACACCTTCTACATATGCTTTAAAGAATTTTCAGAGACTTGGAAGAGATGTTGTAGGCCAGTTATTGGCTTAGATGGTTGCTTCTTAAAATGGGAGTTGGATGGAGATTTACTCGCAGCGGTTGGTAGAGTTGCAGATAACACGATGTATCCTATAGCATGGGCTGTAGTTAAAGGTGAAAACAAAGATACTTGGGGCTGGTTTATAAACAAGTTGAAAGCGAACCTTGGCTTGGGTTTAGGAGAAAACTTGACTCTTATATCTAACAAACAAAAGGTAAGTAAATTATAGTATTCTATATGAATTTGATTTATGTGTTTAAACCTCATTGTCTAATAATTTGTTTGGTTGGTAGGGTCTTGTCATAGCAATCATGAGGCTGTGCATCGTATGTGTGCAAGACATATATATGCGAATTAGAAGAAGAATTTTAGCAGATCAGAATATAAGAATTTGTTTTGGGGAGTTGCTTATAGCTATAATGTAGGAGAATATGATGAGAAAATTAAGATGATTAGTAACTATGATGCTGCTGCTTGTGAGGCTTTACTAGCAACAGAACCTGAGAAGTGGTGTAGAGCATTCTTTGGAACTGAGTCTCAATGCGCTGATGTGCACAATAACTTATCAGAAAGTTTCAACAGAACCATCAAGATAGCAAGATCGAAACCTTTTCTTAGCATGTTGGAGGATATTCGCAGACAAGCCATTAGAAGGATGTCACGGAGGTACCTGAAAGCCGAGACATGTAACACCATTCTCACGCCTATAACAATGGCTTTATTGGAGAAAGCAAGAGTTGACAATAAGTACTGCTCGACAATAAGAAGTAGTTCCAATGTGTATGAGGTTGTTGAGTTTGAATGTGGAAACACAATTAATTTATCAACTCGGCAGTGAGTGTGTAGGCGTTGGGATCTAACAGGTATGTGGCTCTTCTTCTTTATTTTGTTAAGTCTTAATGTTTTCTTCTTTCTTTTATAAGTCTTGGTGTTTTGATTTTAGGTATACCTTGCAAACATGCGATCTGTGTTCTATATGACAATGCTCAAAGTCCTGTGAAGTATGTGTCTGGTTATTACTATGCAAACGTTATGAAAGATACATATAAAAAAAAATATAAAACCAGTGAATGGTGAGAAGCTGTGTATAAAACATGGAATCCAATAGGAATTCATGGGTTTCGTAAGCCAAGAGGAAGACAAAAAAACCGTGACAGAAAAAGGAGCCTTTTGAAAATCTGAAAAATCCAGGAAAATCAACTAAACATGGGAGAACACCTCGTTGCAGTAATTGTCTTCAGATGGGACACATTAAGAGTGGCTGTAAGAATGAGAAGGTTGTAGTTGAGGGACCAAAAAATAAACGTGGTAGACCACGAAAACTTCCTAGTGAGGTAAGTGTTTTGCTTGAGAGTGCTAGGACTGGTGATGATGATAATGATGAATCTGAAACATTATTGGCCTATTCTTAGAATCTGGTTGATAATATCATGTTCGTTTTTCTTGTGATGATGCTTAATTGTTTGTGTTTTGCTTGTGATGGTGCTTAAATGTTTTCGTTTTGCTTGTGATGGTGCTTCATTGTTTGCATTTTGTTTCAGGTACCAAAACGTCCTACAAATCCAAGAAAGAGGAAAACTCCAGTACTGCTTAATGAATCCTCTCAACCAGCACCGCTTAATGAGTCCTCTCAACCAGTACCGGTTAATGAATCTTCTCAACCACTACAGCCCAGTGAATCAACTTCTTCATATCCCGCTACATCTAGTGCACCTGAGCTAACAACCTCATCATCCCAGCCAATACCACAAGAGAAGAAACCAAAACGTGGCCGGCCTTTGAAGATTACAAAAGCAGGTCCATTTTCTCGAGGTTTCGGAACATTGTGGTGTCCATACACAGATCGAGTCTTTGAGGTGATAAACAACAGGGCTTATAATATTAACCCATCAGTGAGTGCACCAGAACCTGCAACATAATGTATTTCGTAGTTGGTGAAAATATACATTTTTCTTTTGCTGCTTCTATGATCAGTTGCGCTATATTTTATTATTTCTATGACTCTATGTTGCGCTATATTTTGTTGCTTGTATAATTCTATGTTGAGCTATGATTTATTGTTTCTATGATTATATGCTTCTACCCATTGATTATGTTTGGTCTCTTTAGTGTTCATGTTTTAAAAATTTTAATAAGAACTACAAATAATGCAACCAAAACAAAAACAAGAACTACAATAAGTTTTCATAAGAATTCAAACAAAGCTACAACAAGTTTCAACAACAATTCAAACAAGAACAACAAAAGCCCCAACAACAAGTTTTAACAAGAACTACAAGAAATTCAACATTAAATTCCAAGTAACTCCGCGGAATCCGATTTTTTCTCCAAGACTTCTACTTCTACTTCCACATCACCATCATTACTCCGACTACCAGAGTAAATCCAACCGATGAAGATATCAACACATTACGGAAAACTCTACTCCTCTTGTTTAGTATTAAGACTTCTCGCTCCTGAGCCTCACATTCTTTACGAGTTTGTTTTAGCTTATCCTTCAACTCATCCACTAATGAAATTGGATCTTCCATCTTCATTTCAGCCTCATGAGTCAGAGCTCTTACCGCCTCCCTTAAGTTCCTAATCTCCTTTTTTTGCACTCGCATTGTATCTCTTACCTCCAACAAAGCTAGATATTGCCACCCATGTGGTTTCTCTACATCATACCAACCAAATAAATTGCATTGCTCATACCCGTGACCAGCCCTGCGACCTTTGCAAGCATATAATCTGCGTCCTGGGTTTTCATATGTCCAAGCTTGAAAATGTTTTGCTAGCCCCTTACAAATACACAGGACACCTTTCTCGTTCTTGTACTCAATTGTTGAAGAACTTGCGCTATGAGACATCTGCATAAAATCCATAGTTCACAAATCATTTACGGTTACACATTCGTCAATTCATAACCTAATCTTTGGTTTTATTTCATATGAAACCTTCAATGTTTCCTACGAATTGAACCCACGATTGCAATAAAAACGAGAACATACCTTTCCGATTTGTGAAATCAACCCTTTGAGTACCAGGAATTCTCGTGTCCGGCCTTTCTCTTCTCTCTCTCATTTCACGAGCTCTCGATTTTTGACATGAACCCTAAGCCCCAAATCAATTCGAGTTTCTGATTTCACGAGCTCTCGTCCTCTTATTTGCTTTTTTTTTTAATTTAATTTAAAAGAAAACGTGACATAAAAAAGGAGTTATCGGGTATTAACAAAAAAAAAATTTATTGGGTTTTAATTTCAGCCATCGGAAAACTACTATACAGTTGCCGGAAAACGGCTTCCGTTATATCTATTGACGATGCCGTTTAAAAATTTGTCGGCGTGACTAAGAGTGACACATTGAACGTTTTAGGTGATAAGTTAATTAATTTGAAGATTAAAATTGTTAGTTAAATACTTAGGAGGTTTAAAGTGATAATGGTTGCCATTTGAGGGTTTTTATGCGATTTTATATTAAATACATATATTCATAGCTGTTTGGGGTTCTAGAGTCCATCTACATCAGCAGAAAATCCTGCTCTTCATTGATGCCACATGGCATAAGCAATTCCATCTAATCTTCTTAGCATTGTGTGTGTACGATTGCCTAAATCCGATCGACACCTCTTCATATTCCAGATCCACAAATATAAGTTCTAACAAATTATACATATTTCTTTCACTCTCTTCGTATTTCAGACTCACAAATATCAGGTCTTTCCACCAAAATTTCCCAATGTCGCCACCATCCCAACGCCTTCTCCAACCAGAGAACCTTGAGATTTGTATTGTTTCCCGTTCTTACGTTCGTTTACACTTATTGTTTTTATATGTAGATTTCTAATGTTTTGCGACCACAACATGCTGACATGGTGAAAGTTAGTGACATGAACAGCAACAGCTCAATGAAGAGATCACACTGTGGAGGAAGAAGAAAAGCAGAAAGGACTGCAACGGCTGAGATCACAATCTCATGGTCAGACTATTGTTTTATTCCACAAATAAATCAAAACCGGATGTAAGTTCATATTTGTGGTCCTAGCTACTTTCATCGATGAGAAGAACGAAACAAACATAACAAGTGCATAAAATAAATAACACACAAGTTTGTAAACGGGGTTCGGCTTCTCCTACATCCCCGGGACCTCGTCCAGAATAATTTCATTAGAACAAGATAACAATTACATGATTGTATGAAATCTTTTCTACATGAAACTCTACTGTAAATCCTCATACATCCAGTTTTCTGCAGATTGCTAGATTCACAGGAACACCACCAACAGAACTTATAGATCTACATCTTGTCTGTCTGGTGGGGGCGACGCCACACTCAACGTGTGCCTCTGTCAATGATACCATGGGCGCGCGCAGTCTTCATGAGACGGCCTCGGTATTTATACTAATGGCTTAACCCTAAAACCTAGGATCTCCAGCGATCACGGATAGATACAACTTGCGTCTCAAGTTTATCTACTTACCAAATCTGTTGCAACGAATATAACATATCCTATCAACTAATTGATTTTAAATAGTAAGTTTGACAGAGATGGATGTGACGAAGGAACATGCCAAAACTTGGCTGATTTTGAAACTCAAGCCTATACATCCTTTGAGTTCCTTAGCTTCTTCCTTATTTAAGCTACATATATTTCTAGGTTTTCAGTTATTTTTTGTCTGTTTATATACAAGTATAACATTATGCGTCTTCCTCATTGTCATATAACTTGGTTAGGGTTTTTGTATTATAATTTCATTGAAAACTCTGAGGTTTCCCCCATCTGGTTCATGCAATTTGTAAGGTTTACCATATTTTACAATATAAATTGTTGTCCTTCGGATGTGTTCTTTGGACGAGAAAAAATCGGAACTTAATATTTTCATTTGCTTGTCTCTGTATTATTTTGATTTACACTTCTAATTCTCTTGCTCTATTAGTAATGTGTATGGTCGGGAAAAAGAAAAAAAAAACTAAAGTCATGGTTGGCAGAAGGTCTACATTACACTTAACATTTGATATGCATAGACATCAGAAGAAGCTAGCATGCATAGCGTATTACTGGCATACACTCTAAGAAGAAACAAGGTGATGTAGCCAGTGCGGTAGAGCTAGCAACGTCTACAAACATTCAAAATTCATTAAAAAAAATTAAGCCTTCAGTGTCGAGAACGAATCAGGTTTTCAAAGGATGTATCTGATTGTCTCAATTTGTAAGCTCTTACATGTTTCTCTCCTCTTCTGAAAAACAAATCATCTCTCCTTCTACATCCAAGAAAGGTGCAATAAACGCTGCTGCTCTAGCTTGTGATGCAGACACATTCTTTTGCAAAAGAGCATGCTTGGTGGAGATAACATATGTAAGTTGACATTAACACTATTTTCTGTGTTTGTATATTCTAGCAATGCCACTGAACGAGATTGAATGCATTTGAAAATTTGTTACGCTGGTGGAGAAAGACCATCTCACATGGGCTATAAGCCTAAAACTTTACTTCTCTTCTGATATACTTGCATTAAAGACAGAGACATTGGCTACAGTATAGATATAAGCAGGATGGTGATAAGAAAGATGGTAATCAGCATCAACATTTATTTACAAAGTAGTTTTTCCATATCTACTCACTATTTCAATCATGTGACAATCAGACAATTGAAAAATATAGTTTTGTTTATCAAAAAAGAAGCATGGGGATCATTTGAACTGGATACGATATGATATAAAAGAAGAATACATGATATGAACTTAATACGAAAAAAAATTAAAGATAATCAAATGGACAGTAAAACAAATCCAAAGAATATAAAAGAAGAACCTAATTAATATGGTTATAAACCTTAATATATATTAGAAAACAGATGTAAAATTTTAATATCTATAAATGTCGAAATGGTGGATCATATGAAACATTAAGAAAAAAAAGTATTAACATATATTAAGAAATTATGTACAATATATACTAAATGAAAGGGATTGTTCAGGGCTCAGAAGTCATCCACATCAGCTTTCTATAACTATTCTATCATGCTGCCACATCAGCAATTAGAGTTATCTCTTTTTTAGTAATACCAAGTCATTATTTTCAGGAAAGTACGAGATCGATTTCTCTTCTCCAGTTTCACAAATACGTGATATGCTCAAATTAACCCTTAGAGCTACTCTCTCAAATTAAGAGATCAATGTAGTACTTAGGGATCAAATCCACAAGGACTTAAGGCTATCACTCAACAGATTTTAGATTCAAATAAAGCTAAGCAGTCAATAATGAAATGAAATTAAAATAACAACGAAAGCAATGATGTCAGGGGCGGATTGTAGGTTCTTAAAATCAATAAAGACAAGACGCTAGGCAATGGGAAATTCGCAGGTTGATATAAATCGCAGTCTACAGACTGAAAGGCATATTTATTAAAACCGTTCTAGAACTCGAAACACTAGTGTAAAACCAACCGACTTCCGTCACAGAGATTTACTATGGTCAGATTCTAGAATTCCAAATTCCTTTGCAAATTCTAACAACCTAAACATGCATTATAGATCAGGTTCGATATGTTCACAAAATCACTAATCCAAATTCCTTTGCAACTAGTTATTTTGCTCATCTAAGATAGTTCTGGTGATTAACAATGTTTCCACATCTATTAAACAACCTAAGATCTGATTTCTAGGTGATCAAACTTAAAACCAGTGTTAAAGCAATCTAGATGAAGGACCAAATGATTTATCCTTCCAGTTTTATAGTTCTAACAATTCATTATCAACCTTTGAATAACCCAAAATCTAACTAGCAGATTACTCAGACATAGCAAGTGAAACACAAATCATGACTGAATAAAATTGCATAAAGAAAATAGAGTAAAATATGAAGGGGTTCGAAATTCTTCTCTACAGAGTATAGATTTGTCTCCCCAAAAGCTCTCAATCTAATCTCTCTCTTAGTCGTAATGATAACAAGATAGATGCCTAACAATGGCTTAGAAAACCTAAATACAAGTCTAAACACGAATTGGGGCAAAAGTGCAAATCATGGGAAACTTCTGGGCCAAGTTGCAATTTCTCCCAATGAGTATTTATGCTTCTTCGCGACCACGACCGGTGTCGATCGACACCAAGTGGTGGGTGTCGATCGACACCCTGCTCCTTAATGCCCTCCGACTTGGTCCTTTCAGTATCACCTTCAGTATAGCTCCAAAAGGTTCCAAAATCCACAATTATGCTCCATTTGTACCTAGACCTGCAAAGACTCTATAGGACACGAAAAATACCAAAAAGATTCTATAAACAAGACTTATATCATGGTAAAAAACCAGCATAAACCATGATATATCAACTCTCCCAGACTTATCTTTTGCTTGTCCTCAAGCAAACATCAGACAAGGCCTAAAGTCGAGGTTTAAAAACACAGAAAAAGTCAGTCAGACATCAGGAACACCACATTGATTAACACTTTCGAATCCAGATACCACAGAGTCAACACAAGATCAAATTTCAGTCTAATCATCACAGGCTTAGCAAATCTTTCAAATCCAGTTCAAGCTCCTTTAAGAAATCCGAAATCTCTACTGTTAAACTCCTTATTTCTATCTAAGTGACAACTCATCAAGGTTTTATCATCTCTATCACTTATAGATTCTTTTCCCTTCCTAAATAACTGATCAAAGCAGTCTCAACACAGTTCTCCTATTTTCTCTTTCCTTGATCTTTTCTTTTTGATAATTTTTTATTTATTTCAAGCTCCTTCTCATTCTGTTACAGTCTAAGTTATGGTGCTACTCAATACTTGTGTTCCTTGTGAGGAGACAGGTTCTTGAGTGTGTTCACTACTGTTGTTCCTTGTGAGGAGACAGGGCCATGAGTGCACCATTCTTTTGACTTAAA